ACACACACACACACACACACACACACACACACACACACACACACACATTGTTTCTTTAGAACGTAATGTGTGAGATAGCTCAGTGGTTAAAGAACCAGACTGATCTTACAGAGAGAGGATCTAGTTTGGTTCGCAGCACTCACATGGAGTTTCGGGGAGATCTGATGCCCTCTTCTGGCCTCTATGGAAATTGCATGCGTGTGAACTACAGACATTTAGCAAAACACATGTTTAGTCTCCTGGGAGGATACAGGGGTGGTTCTAGCTGAGACTCTTAGTGGCAAGGGTCAGAGAGACTAAAGAGGCCACCCTCTAACTAGACTGGACTCTTAGTGGAGGGAGTGGAACACCAACCCACCCACAAAAACTTCCATCCAAAAATTACCCTGCCTACAAGATATGCAAGAATAAAGATAGAGCAAAGATTGAGGGAATGTCAATCAATGCCTGGCCCAACCTGAGACCCACCCCATGGGAGAGAGCCACCCCAACACAATTACCGATACCCTGCTATGCTTACAAATAGGAGACTAGCACAGCTGCCCTCTGAGAGGCACCACCCAACAGCAGGTCAAAACAGATGCTGAGACTCACAGCCAAACACTGGGGGGAGCACATGGAGTCTTGTGGAAGAATGGGGGAAGAATAAGAGGACACAGGAGCTCCACAAGAAGACTAACAGAGCCAACTCACCTAGGCCCAGGGTGAGCTTATGCACACCAACCAAGGACCATGCATGGACTCGACCTGGGAGGCCCTTACGCATACTCAGATGTTGGGTAGCTTGGCCAACATGTGGGTTCCCTAGAAAGGGGAGAGAGAGCTGTCTCTGACATGGACTCTGTTGCCTGCCTTTCAATAGCTTCCCCATGGCGGGGTTTCCTCACCAGGCCACAGGAGAAGAAGATGCACTAAGATGATTTGACTTGAGGAAGTGGGGAGGCTCTCCTTATCTAAGGAGTAGGGAGGGGGGACAGGGGGAAGTGGGAAAGAAGGTGGGAACAGGAGAAGAAGGGGGAGGGCCTGTGATCTGGATGTAAAGTGAATACATAAATAAATTAATTTTTTTAAAAGAATTCACGCAGAAACCTGAGTCCCCACCTTTATGAGAATTAGAAGATAGATGATGCTATCCAAATAAGAATAATCGAAAATTTTAATTTTGGGGATATGGGACTTCGGAGATGGCTCGGCAGCTAAGAGCATTGGCTGCTTCTCCCAGTGACTTGAGTTTGATTCCCAGCAGCCACATGGTGACTCACAACCATCTGTAACTCCAGTGCCAAGAAACCCAATGTCCTCTTCTGGTCACAGGCACACATGTGATGCTCAAATATGCAGGCAGGCAGGACACCCATACACATAAAGTTAAAAAAATAGTAATTTAAGAAGTGTTTTTGGAATTTGAGGAACAAGTGGTTAAAAGATGAAGACATGCCAAATATAGTTCTTGCTTTCTGTTGTTGGGTTTTGGCTGTAATTAGTGTCTTATCTACATTAACAATAATATGTAATTTCCCTGTTTCCCGTCTAGTTTTGCTGATAAGAATGCACATGTGAATGGGGGAGGGATAGCTCGGGATTTAAGAATGCTTGTTGCTTTTGTAGAGGACTCAAGTTCAGTTCCCTGAACTTTTGTGGGTTATTTAATTTTCTTACCAGAAAATTTGAGGATTTTTTTTTCTCTTTGACCACAGTTGTATGAAATACCACAATAGGATCGGTTGTAGATTTTTGTTTTGTCTTTATGAAACTTTGTAGTCTCAAAGACTTTGAAGTTTGGTTTGGTTTTGAAGTTCTGAAGTTTTCAAATAAACATTTTTGTCAAATATCGCTTCTTTTCTAGCCTTCTTTTTATTAGTAATTTATCAGCTATTGGAGATATATTGTGCGTCTATCTTTCATCTGCTTGCATCTTAGAAATATGCTTTGATGGTGCCTTGCCTACCCTGGAAACACACAAGACCTTCTGCCTTCTTCTTGTGCTTCCTTCCCTTGCCATGTCTACAGCTCCAGCCATATGGCACTGTACCCATACCAGATTTTACTTAGCCCTCTTTTCTTTCCTGGAGTTAGCCACAACTTGATCACCATTGCCTCTAGAATGCCTCTTTAATCCTGTTCGGGTCGCACACCACTGCCAGGGGCTCTTCTGACATACAGTGGATACTATATACAACTCATTTCCTTATAAACTGGACATACATAATGTAAAGATACAGATAATAATAATAAGGAATCCATATACAGAGCTGAGGATATGGGTTAAGAGTGCTGGCCACTCTTGCAGAAGACCTGGGTTTATAATATCTTATCTTTTAAAAAAAGAGAATCTGTATTATACTTTCCACACGGCCTGGGATATTAAAGTTGATCAGAATATGTTTTGAGTTTAAATGTATAGTGAAGAAGATGCAGTGGAGAAACAAAGGAAAATACTACCTATTGTTTTCTAGAAGTATTAGTAGTTTTGAGTCAAGAGAGGGTTGTGTTGCATGTGTGTATTTGTGTGTGTTGTCGTTGTTGTTGTTGTTGTTAAGTACAGGGTCTTACTAAATAAACTACCCTTAAACTCACACCAATCTTCCTGTCTCTTCCTCCCCAATGCTGCAATTATAGGTGAGAAGCATCGTGCCTCGTTTGGTTCTGGCTTTTTTTTTTTTTAAGATGAAACATGAAGGGTCAGTGAACAGAGGTAATGGCTGAAATGTGCAAACAGAGAGGAGAGTTAAGAGGGTGGAGAACAGACCTGTGGAGAGCAAAAACAAGAGGACAAAAGGACTGTGGAGATAAGAGAAACTGAGGATGGGGGTAATTTTTTTGTCAAGCTGGAGACCTAAGTCAGGGTAGGCTCCTGGGAGTCTATTAGAAGTCTCCTCAAAGACTTCTAATAGAAGAAGTCATAGAGACTGAAGAGGACTCCCATTAACTAGTCTCCTAGCAGAGGGAAGGGAACACCAACCCACCCACGAAAACTTGGACTCAAAATTTACCATGTTTACAAGATGTGCAGGGATAAAGATAGAGCAGATAGAGCAGAGATCGAGGGCATACCCAACCAGTGCCTGGCTCAACCAAAGACCCACCCTATTGGAGAGTGCCAACCCTGACACTATGAAGGATGCTCTGTTAAAGTCGCAGACAGGAGCCTGACAGAGTCTCCTCTGAGAGGCTCTACCTAGCAGTGCCTCAGAAACAATGCTGAAACTCACAGTCAAACACTGGGTGATGCCTGGATAGTCTTGTGGGAAAGTGTGTGTGAGGAAAGAGAAAAGGGCCTGGAGATGATAGGAGCTCCACAAGAAGACCAACAGAGCCAACTAACCAAGGTCCAGAGTGGTTTGCTGAGACTGAAGCATCAACCAAACACCATGCAGGAACTGGACCTAGACCCCCTACAAAGATGTAGCAGATGGGAAGCTTAGGACTCAAGTGGATCCTCTAGTAAGAGAAGGGGGGACTGCATTGGACACAGACTCACTTGCCAGCTTTTGATCACTTTCCCCTGGTGGGCCTGCCTTGTCAAGCCAGGTTATGGAGCGTAACCCCTAATACTGGCCATAGCTGATGTTTTATTTGAGGTGGCATTTATAGGATGACATTGGCCCACAGTTCAAAAAGATGTAACCTATTTGGTTCTAGAGAATTTAGTTGATAGCATGTAATGTCTAGTCAGCATTGTCTCCTCCATTATATGGTAACTCCATTCGAGCTTCATTTCATGTGTCATATTTTAGGAAGTGTCTACTGGAAATCTCTATTCATGTTCAAGAGTGGGAAAGTAATCATCAGTGTCACACTTAGCTAAAACCCTGTGAGCTACAACAGCATCACGAGTGCAAGCTATACACATTGGCTGTAATAGTGGCACAAATATTGTGGGAGTAACCAACATCTTTTAAAAATTATACTTAATGTCTGCTCCATGAGAAGGAACCCATACATGACATTAAATGAGGCCAAGAACCTTGGACTAAGTGGATCTGCTAAATAGCTGCAGCAATAAAATGCCTCCTAACGATATATTGTTGTGCCCATAAATAAGTGGGTGCATCAGAGAGGCTTTCTCTCGAAGTACATGGTTATTAACATGAAGATACACAACTGGACACTGTGCAAACTGAAAAAAAATGTTGGACTCAGCTTTAAATGTCTATGCCACATCCCTCTCCTCAAGGCTGAGGAAGCTATGCAGAAGAGGAAAAAAGACCATAAGAGCAAAGGTGATGAACAACTCCAAGGAAACAGCATTTTCCAGACACAACAGAACTGATAAATGAATCAAAATGATGCGATAGGATATACAAGACCTGTACAAGTCCAACCATTACAAAATTACAACACTGACCAGGGGAAGTGGAAGTGATAGGTAATCATAGACATGGAAGCTTAGGAGGAAAGGTATTCCACCTGCAATTTTCAAGTCACATTCCATCACTGAGGGGAGGCAGGGCAGGAGCTCCAGGCAGGAACCTGGATGCAGGAACTGAAGCAGAGGCTACGGAGGAACGCTGCTCACTAGCTTGTTCCCCACGACTTTGGCAGCCTGCTTTCTCACACAATCCACGAACATCCTCTCAGAGATAACACCTCCCACAGTGGATTGGGCCCTCTCTTATTAATCATTAATGAAGAAAATGCCCCCTAGACTTGTATACAGGCCAGTCTTATAAATGTTCCCACACCACTGCTTGTGACAAATAAAAGAAAAAAGGAACAATCAAGACAAAGGGCGAGTCA